TATTTTTTTTTTTTTTTACAAAATATTTTTGTTTGTCTTGTATATTTTTTTTCATTCGATCAGATAAGATTTTAAGCTGTCCATATGTTCAAGTTACAACGTGCCCCTCAGATGTTACAATGTGTTCCACCTACGGGGCATGTTGTCACATTTCACTTCCATTTTTTGAGGGTAAATAAAGAAAAGTGTATACACTGTAATTATGAAACAAAGCGACATATTTGTACTAAACAAGTGTAAAATTACTGTGGATAAAAAATATATATATATATTCTGAACCCCATGTGGATTTACACATCGGACCCCAGGGGCTATCGTCGCGGGGGTGGTCTCATTCGAAAGGGGGCCTCGAGACATACACTCCATTCGGCGTTCGAGAGGGTTCCTTGAGCTGAAGAGATCCCCCGAATTTGGTGCGGATCTGCCACGCCATTACGAAGATATGGCCATTCAAAGTTTCAATGGTTTTCCATAAACTTAAGCTTTAAAGCGTTTCATCCAGGTCGCCAGTAGCAAACAATGGAGAGCGCTCTGCTGGACAAACTAAGTAATTACACCATTTCAAGCATTTTATCTGCATTATATGTTCTGTAAAAAAAAATTTCATATCGGCGGCATATTCGCCGATACCGATATATCAGCGACAGGCTCATATCGGCCGATAATATCGGCAAAACGATATATCGGTCGGGCTCTAATACATATACTTCGTATACATCCTTAATCTCTAATAACTCCATTCTACTGTCTGTTGTTCTGTTGTCAGTGTTTCTTTGTCTGAATATGGCACTTATTACATGTTGTGTGGTATCGGCATTTGGTATCGGGGCATTTTAACATGTACGAGTACAGAAGATCAGTATCGGACCCGATACCGATACCAGTATCGGTGCATCCCTAGTAGCTATATGAACACGTACACACGCGCAAAGCCTTGGCCAAGCATTTGTGTACTTGTGTGTAGTATGCTTTTGGCCCTAGTGTCTAAAGCTAACACTGCTGGCATTTAAAAAAAATAATAATCTAGTTATTTTTCCACCTGGCAGGTCCTCCTGAAATAGTCGCATCAATTACATGCTCACTATCAATGCGAAACATGTAGACTCCACGATTCTGAAAAAAAAGAAGAAAAAAAATCTATTCACAACACACGGACAGAAGACGCACTTGTTCAGCATGACTTAATATTATTTTAGATTCAGTTTTATTATAATGCATACCTGTGCCTCGTACATCTTCTCTTTTCTGTTTGCCACCTCATTGCGAATGATGGTACCAATGTATTCAATAACCATGGTGTACTTCTCAATATCCCTAGCAGCGTATAGCCCTAAACCCTGAATTAAAAATAATGCAAATCTCAAATCACTACAGGTTTGAGTCAAGACATAAAAAGATTGTTCAGAATGGAATACTAGCTAACTTATTATTAGATTACTGCTAACTGTATTCAAATTTAACAGTAGGCATTACACAATAAACATTTTAAAAGGTAGCATGCTATGGCATTGTACCATGACCTCTTTTTGTAGCATGTAAAATGTTAAATAATGCAGAAAAATAATAATAATAATAATAATAAAAATCCACGTTAATTATTCTTCATACTGAAAATACAAGGATGAGTTAAGTGCACTGTATTGTGGGAAACAGCATCTGGCATAGTGTACCTTTGTATATAGAACATTTTGTCAAATGCAATAGGTCAATCTGGGTATTCTCTGTTAACAGAACATTTGCACGCTGTGCAGGATATACACATATATGTAGAATGAGTCGTTATGTTATTATGCATGCTATTCCAAACATTGCTTTTAAGCTACTAAATCCCATGAGATCAGTATTTTCTCTAATACTCTGAGCCATAATAATCTTTCTACCTGTATGCGTGAACGAGCCAGGTAGACGTTGGACTTCCACTCAGCCTTCATTCGACGGTACTGAGAGGACTTGGAATGGATAAACTGCTTGCTGTATGGGGCAACACCCATCTCAGCCGGGTTCCCAGTGCTCTGCAGGGTCTTAGAGGAGCTACTGCTGGTGAGGGTATGAGGCCTGCATCAGAAACATAAGCATATGTGCCTCATTTAAAAACAAACAAACAGGACTGGCTTATATTGGGTCCTGTTCACCACCATTTTTGAGGTAATTTTTTCAAAACACCGTAAAGACATTTATGCTGTTTACTTCCATTAATGAATATTCCAATACCAGTGTTGCATTTTTCTGCTGAAGTAGGCCAAATGTACTAAAAGAAACACTCCAATAGTATACTAGAGTATTATACTCTAATAACAGTCTTTTATGCTGCTATGATGAATCTACAGTGCCACAGTAAAACAAATTAATTATCTGAGCCGTTTTTGAATGTGCTGAGAAAGATCGCAATGAAATAATGCTAAGACATTAAACAAACAAGATGTATACACAAACACGCAACATGAACAATCTAGTCTGATTTCACAAACAAATGACTCAGGTTATGAGCCGGGTTCTTTTTGATAAATCGTTTTTTGATAATCCGTTAGTTTGAATCATTGAAACAGCTGTTCTTGACTTCACTGAATTGCATGACTTTTTGTCCATGTCCAACTCAACATAAACCAATTCTCATCACTTAGTCTCCATCTTTTCATATCAAAATAGATGCTTAATGATTGATTGAGGGCCATGTTAACTCACAGCAAACCAAGCTCACAGGCTAAACTGGGACATGAATGGATGTTCACTCACAGACCACAGGGAAAGCAGGAAATCCAATACAAACATGGATGGAAAAGAAAGTTAAAATTTTACAGAATACCTTAACACGAACCTCTTGATATGTGTGCAAGCTTTTGGTTCAGAGCGGGCACATCCAGAAGGGTTGATGGCCAAGGGCAGCTGCATCAGTGGGTTACGGCCATAACGGAACGTGTACTGCTCACATGCTTCAACTCCAGGAAGCTAAAAGCAAAGATTAACGTTACAACACGATTACTAAGAAAGGAATGTTTACAAAAAAGATTTCATTTATTAATAATTAAAATGCAAATGGAATTTTATGGCATCCAAAAAACAAAACAAAACAAATTTCCGCTCAAAATTACATTTGTGTCTTCTTTCCACACCCACAAAATACATCTTAAACATTTCTATCTGCCAAGGGCTAAAACAGGGCTGCATTTCTCAAAAGCATCGCAAGCCTAAGTTGATCGTAGCTCCATTGGTTTCAATGTGTCTACGTTGTACTTAAACTTACAATGCTTTTGGGAAACGAAGCCCTGAGGATTAATTAGTCAATAACTGCTTAAAAGCATGATTTGACTATCACTTACAGATTCTACAATCCTGGTAACAGCAGATACAGTTAGTCCAAACAGATCCTCTCCCTTCAGGTAAACTGGGAAGAGCTTCAGAGATCCCGTCTCATTTCTTCTCTCAGCCACGGGCTCCAGAACTTTATCCCACACACCTGTACACAACATGAGAATATTCTTATATAGTTCCCTCCCAGAAAATAACTGGAGAATTCAAAACAATAGTGTTTTCTCAGACAATGACTACTTCTTTTACACTACAAGGCTTGTTGTGCAAACCCTTTTTGTAAGGAGAATCAGATAATTTTTTTAAAAATGTGATCGCAAAATATGGTCATCTTATCTACAACGCCCGGAAATAGAAATGTGGAAAAATCTAATTTCTATTTTTACGCATCATTGTTTATACACTTTCATTATTGTTTATACACTTGTTGCTAGATCTGTACCAGATATCTATGAAACCCCCCCCCCCAAAAAACAGAACTGGTTAACAGTGTAAATGCCATTAGGTGCAACTGCTTACTTTTTGGCGAGGATCCAGTAAGAACTAAGTCATCGTAACCCTGCTCCACTACACGGATGATAAAATCAGGTTCGCCGTCTTTCTCATCGATGGAACACACATAGTGGCAGCGACGGTTGCCATGACGCATGCTCCAGTAGATCCGGCTGGCCTCGTAGCCCACAGGAAAAATGGCAGACATCGAGTGGAAGGCCTGCATCTGCTGAGGCAGCAGCTGACCGACAGCATGGAATACCAAGCTGCCTACACGGAGGGTGTGCTCCCGCTCACCCCTCTGTATGATGCTGGCGATCTGCCGTGCCTCGTCCCTCTGTACATAGACCCTGCGGAACACTGCAAAGCAGCGGAGTTCATGCTCAGTCCCTGCCAGCCCACCTCCCATTGAGCCAGTTCCTCGGGGTCTGTGGAGGTGGCACAGCATAGACTTGTCTTTGAAGAACATGCACTGTGCTTTAAGGGCGCAAGTGAAATGGTACGCATTAATGCAACGCAAGCGGTGGCAGCCACTTGTGGCGCCCATTTGCTGACAGTACACACAGCGCACCAACAGGCCTCTCCTCAGGGCCAACGCGACGTTAATGAGAGCTCCAGCCTGGGTCTCATAGACTTCAGTAGACCACAGGGCACAGTTAAGATGAACCCATAAGTCCAGATCAAGGTTAAGCAGACGGGCCGGCCCATCAGTGCGCCCGTCACCTTCTTCATGGCAGAAGCAGCAGCGGCGCAAGTCTCTGGGCATGGGCTCAGGCCTAAGAGACATCCCCAGTTTTTTCAGTAGTTCATCAACCTCTTCCTCCTCCGGCAGGTGGTAGTTACCCTTAGGCACCATAATTTGAATGCTCCACTTTCTCCATCGTAGAGCCTTAAAGCGCTTTCCTATTAAATACCGAGGGTCATCCCCACTGTTGTGTACTGCTCGTGGCCGAGGCTTTAGCTTGACTGTGACCTTTAGTGTATCAGATTTGCTATCTCCTCTGAGTGTCTCAGAAGTAATGGAGGGGAAGGATATTATCGGAGTTGAAGGTGGAGACTGCTTAGGTTGGAGCTGGGCCAAACAGTGCACATCAAGATCTGATATATTGTTACTGTATTGATGAAGCACCTTAGTAGAATTCTGCTTGTCTTCAGAGTCAGATGTTGGAGACAAGTTTGACTGTGAGAACAAGAGACATCAAAGACAAAAAGGAATTTTGAGTCTGCATTCTTTGGGCAACAAGACTGTTCTCTTAAAGAAAATGGCACCAGTAACACTTCAGTTATATTAAAAGTACTGATGAGACCATTTAGTGCTCTTAAAAGTCTCAGGAAGTTTAAAAGCTTTTAAAATTTAGACGATGTTTTAAAATTAACAGTAATAAAATACTTTGCTCATGTTCAATTTAATGATGAAATTTGTAATAATTCACACTGGTCTCTTCATAACCAATTAAGAATTTATGGTCATTACTAAAGGAGACTTCATGAGTGAGCAGCATAACTTGGCTTTCTAAATACAGCAGCAGATCCCACACTTTCAGTATGAAAGCACAACACAAGCTGGCTGTTATAGTTTCAGGCAGTTGATGACTTTATAAACTGATTTGTTGTGGTTTCAACTTACCTTGCCATCTACCAATTTAGTCTGCATGGCCGCTGAATAGAGAACAAAGCAATTATGGCTGCAGAAGACAAGGGTCCCCTCAGCTCCTCCATGGCCCTGCAGAAAGTACATCTGTAAGATCAGGCTCACCCTAGGCAAAAGCTGTAAAATAGGGGGGAAACGGGGCATGCCATTTCCCATCTACTGTCGCAAATTATCATTAGATCGAAGTGCCTCACTGGCAAGAGATCAAAGCTTGCATGTTTTGCAAACCTTTGTTGATGCCATAAGGAATTAGATTTGCATGCTATTAAATGGAAAGGGAGGGGGTAAGGGTGAGAGACATCAAAGGTGTCCCATGATTTAAATGACCTGAAATGGGCTTAACTGTTCTTGAACTTGGGTATCTCACGGCCTTTAACAAAATGTGCCTTGGTGCACACAATCCCTTGGGTAATGTCAGTTAACCTAGTGACTGCAGCAGGGTGGATATTCACTTCCCATCAGGGACTGGATTAGGATAATTGGAGCGCTACTCTGTGCCTCCTTGAGGGACTTTGCGGGGGTTGAAGATTTTCAAGTGCTCTGTGGCCCTCGGCTTCAGCCTTCTTCAGTGCTATGTTCAGAGAATGTAGTCTAGACCCACACCAACTGACTGAGCAAACACGAAGCCCTTAGGTAGTGATATGAGATCTAATGACTCAACAAGGCATCCATGATAAACTACAATGCATGTGCTATAAATGACAGTCATCTGGGAAGAGTAATTTGGCAGTCTTAACTTTGTGTTTTATACCTGTTTATTTATTAGCAGGTCTTTGGTGGACTTCCGAACGCCATTTCCAAGAACCACCACCCTGCAATTGGAGCACCACTGGGGTTTAGGCCCTGGACTGCTTCCACCCAAATGATAGTCTGGTCTGACCACAATTGAACCTGGAATAAAAAACACATCAATCAAACCTACAAATCATGCAGTTGGAAGAAAATGGAAGAAATTCTAAGTTGAAGAGATTTCTGGCAGATTACATCCATCAACTTATTTCAACCAATCCATAAAACAGTATATACCACTCACTTAGCAAATTAATCACAATGATTTGCTTTTATAGTTCACTTCTGTCTTTAAAACATGAACATGTATCAACCAATCAACCAAATATTTTTGTTGGCTTTGTGCTCTAATTAAAAAATACACAAAAAATATATATCTTTTAAAAACAGATAACACTTCAAAAGTTGTGTCCATTTGTGACATTAAGTACTAAAATATTAAGTACTTTAAAATGTTTATGCAAAATGCAGCCCTGAGATACTGACAGTCAAAATCTGTTTGCATCTAAAAGTCTATCTGTTGATGTGGGTGAAATGTGTGCCTCTCTTGTTTTACATATACTCACCCTCCCTGAAGGTCTGGTGTGATAGTGGGGCACCTGGTGGTCTGTGGAACCTCATACCAGCTTGTTGTTGGAACAGGGCAGTTTGAGGGGGTACCTTAAGTCCACTCAACATGTCTATTGAGCTGCGGTGCTCTGGGCCTGGAGAGCAAATCACCTCAAAGTTCCCGTGGATGGACACACAAAGCATGTTCGCCAGTGCTGACACAACTCCTTGAATGTTCTGGGGCATAAGCAGACATATGGTCAGAGGTGAGATGAAATAATTTTTGCTTTGAACAAGTCATTACTGCTATAGAAAGGACAATTTAATTGCAGACACTAACTTGTGCTGCCACTGGGTTCAGGGTAACAGATACTGATACCAGGTCAGTTTGTGAGCATGTAGAGAGCCGTTCAAATTGCGATGCAAAGAAACTGCTTGGAGGCTCTGTCTTGACTTCCCACTGCCTGGCTTCAGAACCTACAGGCAAAACAACATGTTGCACATACCAATATTAAATTATACTTAACTTTTAAAAACAATATTTTACTGCACTGAATATTTACACAATATTACACAAGCAATTATGCTGTTGTACAAAAGATTAGCATGGTTGTGATCCAGGTGTCTTAAGCCCGGGACACACCAAGCCGACGGTCGGCCATCGGCTAACATTGGGCCGTTGGTGAGTGTCTATCGGGCTAGTTCGTTTTTCGTGTGTTCCACTCGTTGGCTCTTGTCGGGCTCACGTCAGTAGTAGTTTGCCCGATTCAACATCTTGAATCGTGTCAGGGCCGTCGGGACCATCGGTGAGAGAGAGAACTCTGATTGGATGTTCAGTTGAGCGAACTAGTCCGTGCAGGAGAAATTTTAATTCTGTCATTAATTACTCATGTCATTCCAAATCCGTACCTTTGTTCATCTTCAGAACACAAATTAAGATATTTTTTATGAAATCTGAGAGCTCTTTGACCCTCCATAGACAGCAAGGATATTACCATGATCAACACACAGAAACATAGCAAGGACATCAGTAAAATAGTCCATGTGACATCAGGGGTTCAACCGTAATTTTATGAAGCTACGAGAATACTTTTTGTGCGCAAAGAAAACAATAATAACAACTTATTCAACAATTCTTCTCCCCGATTTACCATCTTCCGCTATTTTGGAGAGCACCTCAGAACGTAATAAACGTAATCAGCATTGTTTACGTTCAGCATGCGCGAGCTATCTACTACACTTAAACAACGCTGATTATGCTGATTACGTTCAGGGGTACTCTCCAAAATGGTGGAACAAACCCTTTAAAGCAAAAGTGATGAAAATGGGCAAGTAAATGAAGGCGGCACAGACAGAAGGCTGTCTTTTGATGTGACATGCAAGCATTCCAATATGCGAATGTTTTCATAACATGAGCCGCTTAAAATGATGAAAGTTATCAATGTTACTGATATTCAAAATGGTAAGCAAGCGCTGCTTTGTTTATGTTTTGTATATCTGCGTTTATCTCGCATATCTTTGTTTTGGTTTCTCCGTTTGAATGACGAATATTTACTATCGATAGCTACTGATATAGACATCTAATTCCTCTCACGCAGGCACAGAACGCACGTGTTTAGTTTGCAGTCAGCTGTTGTCTGTGCGGTGTGTTCACGTGCAGCTTTTTGGTCCGACTCTGTCAACGCGAGGTGACAACACCGTCTGCTTTCATTGCCGCTAGCTCTTTGAAGTCGGCTTGGTGTGTCCCGGCTTTTAGGATGAAGCACCATAGAGTGCAACAATCAGGTTCTGGAAGTAAAAACTCTTATTCATTTTCTCCACAGGGAAATATATTTTGCTGATAAAACTTTTAAAGACATACCTGTTGTGAGCTTCAAGGTTGTTAATTGATTGTACATATTTATTGTTGAACCCATCTGTTTGCATTACTTCAACTTATTTTTGTTTTAATAGCAGAATTTATGGAGAAAATCTACATTACCCATGATGCTGTACAGGACATTCCACCAATCACCATGAGCAAAGGGCACCAAGAGAGATATTTAGCTCCGCCCATTCCCATGAAGCACCATAAATGACATAATCAAGTCAGTCTTCCTACGCTCTCAAACTACTTAAAATTATATATGCATGTTTTGCAATTAACTTTAATATTGTTTCTGTAGATACGACCAACAACTTATATTTATCCATCATTTTTAATTTAAGTATTGTCATTCACACAGCTTCAAATGGAACTGTAGCAAGTACACAGTCTTATATCTTTGTCTGATTTTTTGTGTGATTCTCCTTAGCTGGTCGGCTTGGTTCATGGCTTACAACGCTTTAACAAAGACGTTTAAATATCCCTATCGGAAAAATACTTCCAAACCAGTGTCACTGAAAAGGGTGCGGGCACTGTTACACTCTATTATGTCTACCTTCTATGTGCGGATACAGAAGACAGATGCCAGCACATTATATTAGTGTCACTGTCACCTCATTATCTTTTATTTTTGTCTAACCTGTCATTACTCTAAAACAGCTTTCGCATCAAGTGCACACACACAATGTCTTAATATGCTATCTCAGCAGGTAACTTACTAGGTTTATACTAGTCTTTCTTATTAGTCTCTTCAGATTACCTTTACCACTGGCACTGCAAAGTATGGGTATGACTGGAGAGACAGCAGGGGATGGCGGTTCCTCTTTAACTCTAGAGAGATCTGGATAACGGCTGATCTCCATGCCAACCACACTCTCAGGAGAGGATGATGGGACATAACTGTCTGGAGTGTCCCTGTCGACACAATGCTCCTGACCCCTATTAAACACACACAGGGATAGAACCATTATATACATACTAACCTAAACCAAGACTTTATGGTCAACAATGGGTAGTCTCAGGGTCAGAAAGTGATCTCATGCATATTGCAACTAGATGGACAAATGCTTATTTAAAAAGTAAGTGGGGGCTCTAGGACAGAAACAAATCTATATGGCTTTGTTAATGGCCAAACGTTTGGCTACATGAGACAAAACAATGTGTAAAAAGTCCTGAAAACCTACCGAAGTTCCTCCTGGTTGTTATGGGGTGGAGTGGGAAGTGAAGCAGGAACATCAACAGTCTTTGGGCCATGAGTGATGGTGTGTCCCAGCAGGTCATCTTCAGCTTTGAATGGAGTAGTGTGCTGCTTCTGACCCAAGCTTTTAGAAACTGAGACATAATCACAAATAATTACTGATCACCAAAAAGGCATTTTTAAAATAGCTAATGTATAATTATAATATTTAAGAAAAATACCTACACTATAATGCCATATTACATCTGTGATTTGAAACATATTTTCTTGTCTATGATGAACTATAATAGGAATTTTACAGGTAAAGTCTAACTCAAGATTTTGTATGAAGGTTTGGTATGCTCGTTAAACTATTTGAGTTTTTCAGTGTTGTTCCCTAATGTGTGCGTGCATGGGTCTACATTTATTATTATTTTTTTTTTTTCAGTGAAAGGATGTGCTTAACCTTAAAAAAATTGGCCTCCCTATGGTTACCTGGTCATTTTGAAAGCCAGTTTATTGTCTATTCTGTCTAAATCTGTTATAAAACAATGAGATTGAAACTGACATTTCAAATGGGGACTCGCAAACGAGAGCATATTACTCCGATTTTAAAGACACTAAATTGGTTACCAGTGTGTTATAAAATTGATTTTAAGATATTGGTATTTGTTTTTAAATCCTTAAATGACCTGGCACCCTTTTACCTATCTGACTTATTAAAAGAAAATAAGCCAACAAGATGTCTGAGATCGACAATAAACCTCTCCTTGGCTCAGCCTAGATCACGGTTAAAGACAAGAGGTGATCGTGCATTTGCAATAGTTGGACCGAGGCTATGGAATAACCTTCCTTCATCTGTGAAAGCTTCAAAGTCTGTCTATGAGTTTAAAACTAAGTTGAAATCCTATTTTCTTACCTTGGCTTTTTAACTTTGTATGTTAAAGGGGTCATATGATGCTGCTAAAAAGAACATTATTTTGTGTATTTGGTGTAATGAAATATGTTTATGCGGTTTAAAGTTCAAAAAACATTATTTTCCACATAAGGTACATTATTGTTTCTCCTCTATGCCCCGCCTTTTTGAAATGCGTCGATTTTTACAAAGCTCATCGGTCTGAAAAGCGCGCTGTGCTCTGATTGGCCAGCTATCCAGCGCGTTGTGATTGGCCGAATACCTAAAGTGTCAGATGGAAATGTTACGCCCCTCACCATACTGTTGATGTACACATACTGCCGTGTCCGGCCGGAGCGATGAGACAAAAACATTAAAATCCATTACAAACGAGGCATTTGTTGCATCCAGTGGGGACATAATTACTGATTATAATGACTTATACTGTCTTTTTACGCGTTGCATTGCATTGCGCTGCGTAAACATAAAACTCTGTCTGCATTTGTGATCGGAGAAATGACAAACAACAAGTGCTACTCTACTGCCCAAAACTCGCGTTTGAATCATCAGTGGCAACGAAAAACACAGCGGCCCAGCATGAGGGGAAGCCCCGGCTTAGCGTGCGCTGCGGCCGGGATAGAGTGAGCTGAGGCGGGCTGGACTCCGCTTTGTCCACGGTGAAAGTTGATGTATTCCCTCAGCGACCAGCACAGATCAGCTCTAGGCATGACGAAGCGGATATCGTCCTCTTTTGGAAGACCAAACAAAGTAGTTTCGCTTTCACAACGAACCACACAGCGTCTTCAGGACATGGCTGCAGCGTCAACAATACTACAGCGAGAATAAAAGTTGCGCCTTCTTTCTTTGCGTGAACATTTGGGAGGCGTTATGCAAATCTTCCCAGATCGTGATGTAGGTATGTTGGGACGTGTTAGAACGAGCCATTTTAGGTAGGCGTGGTTAACTCTGAACTTTTATAAAGAATATCTCTTTGGATTTGAGACTTTAGTCTTTGCAACTTTACAGATCTTCTTTATGCACCAAGAGCTTGTAACACTCCAAAGAGAAAGGAAAAATTGAAATCGCATCATATGACCCCTTTAAATTTTTGTTCTGGATTTTATTGATGTTTTTATTATTATTATTTTTATTTATTTTTTTCTTCTTTCTGGCTTTTTACTCTATTTGTACAGCACTATGGTCAACTGCTGTTGTGTTTATCGGTGCTTAATAAACACATGAATGAAAATTAGGGATGCACCGATACCGATACTGGTATACTGAGCTCCTGAACTCGTACTTGTACTCGTTAAAATGCCCCGATACTAAACGCCGATACCATGATAAGTGTTTTGCTTGCTTGAGTGTTTCTTACATTATATAGTGGCTTTGGAAAATAAATCACAGCACGGTTCAGATAAAAAAACGCGACTTCTATTTCTGAAAATATCACAGTTAGGAGATTTATAACGAGTGGTTCCCTACATTATTACAGCAAAGCGCGTGATTACAGTACTAAGCCGCTGCAATGGAGCAGCTCTAATGCTATTAAATTAAAGATGATGTACCATAGAGCAAAGAATTAACAGTGAAAGTAACAAAAACTTGTAAAATACATTTTTATGGGCATAATTAAGTGTGAAAATAACCGAAGGATATACAGTCAATCCAAAAATTCAGAGACCAGATATAATTTTTTTTATTTTTTTACTAGCGGGTGCAGGACACTATAATTCATTTATGTAGGTGAGGATAGCAAAATAAAGTAAACTGACAAATTATACCCAAAATTTCTTCATACAGTGGACTACCAGTAAAACTGAAACAAATTTGGGACCAAAAAGGATTCAGACTGAGTCGAGTCGAAGTTCAGGTTTGCATGAAGCTGGGTGACAGAATGCCCAGGAGACCACAGGCTGTCATTAAGGCTAAGGGTTGCCCAACTAAGTATTGATAGTTGTGTGTCATACTAACAGCTGTCTAATTTTTGGTTGATTGTAATCCATTAGGCTACATACCTTTCTATCAAAGTTATCTAAGTCACCTTTATTTATATTTTAACATTATCAAGCTGAATTTGTTCTGACTCAGTTTAACGCTTAGTTCTTGTTATATTTTATTACCATTTTCTAAACAATAGCGAATAAACTGTGATAATGTGGGAAATGTTGAAGGTGTCTGAGTAAAGGTTGGTTTGACTATCTATTTGATAAATGAAGTCAACTAACATTATACATACTCTTTTGGTTTCTGTACCCAATATTTAAACAATTTACAAATGCAATAACATATTGGTATCGGTACTCGGTTTCGGCAAGTACCAAAAATAAAAGTATCGGTATCGGGCGAGTACTGGAAAAAGTGGTATGAATGACATTGCCATTAAGAATACACCAACACCCTCATGCTTACCCAAATCTTCTGCCTTCCTGGTCAGTTCTTCTGCAGTGGCAAAACCATTCAACAACTTCTGCTTGGCTGGTATCGGTACTCGGTTTCGGCAAGTACCAAAAATAAAAGTATCGGTATCGGGCGAGTACTGGAAAAAGTGGTATTGGTGCATCCCTAATGAAAATACATGAATGACATTGCCATTAAGAATACACCAACACCCTCATGCTTACCCAAATCTTCTGCCTTCCTGGTCAGTTCTTCTGCAGTGGCAAAACCATTCAACAACTTCTGCTTGGTTACAGGTGGTGGTGTGGGGGGCAGTGAGGCGGGAGGTGTTGGAGGATTGCTAAGATTGTTCTGCTACAAGACCAAACAGGCAAAAAAAAAAAAAAACTTAAATAAAAAACAAATCTGCAAATTCACCATGTCTACAAAGTATAGAAAAGGAAGTGAAGACTGTAAAGGCCAAACCTTATAGATGAGTTGCGTGTAGTAATCAGATACGCCATTCAGTGATGCACTTCCAAAAGTTCCTGAGAGCCTGTTCTCTCCATTCAACTGCCCACTGCCATATGGGTGAAAATGTGCAAAGTTTACCCCAATCAAAGGCTCCATCAGGGGCAGCATAGACAGTTGCTGTAAGGATGAGAATGGAGGACACATGATTTGAGCGAAACAACAACATGCAAATGATGATGTCCACATCTAATGCCAGCATCTCACTATTTTTTTTGTTGGTTTAGCACCTCAGTATTTGAACGAGCTCTTATTGCATTATAGTCCTCCGCATCTGCTGCGTTCTAAAAACTCTGGCAATTTGATAATACCTAAAAAATCAAAATCGTCTGCGGGCGGCAGATCCTTTTCCTATTTAGCGCCCAAATTCTGGAATAATCTACCTAACATTGTTCGGGAGGCAGACACACTCTGTCAGTTTAAATCTAGATTAAAGACCCATCTCTTTAACCTGGCTTAGACATAGCTAACACATTTCTAATATTCAAATCCGTTAAAGGATTTTTAGGCTGCATTAATTAGGACAACCAAAACTGGGAACACTTCTTATAACACCCGATGTACTTGCTACATCGTTAGAAGAATGGCATCTACGCTAATATTAGTTTGTTTCTTTCTTATTCCGAGGTCACCGTAGCCACCAGGTCCAGTCTGTATCCAGATCAGATGGTCACTGCAGTCACCTGGATCCAGTACGTATCCAGCCCAGATGGTGGATTAGCACCTAGAGATGATCTCGACAGCCCTGAATGTCAGCGGAGATCAGGACAACTAGATGAGACCCAGAGACAGATCCCCAGTGAAGACCTCGTCTCCTAGATGGCCATCGGGACAAGACCACAGGAACCAGTTGAGTCCTCTGCACAATGTGACTTTGCTGCAGCCTGGAATTGAACTGATGATTTTCGTCTGGCCAGAGGAGAACTGGCCCCCCGACTAAGCCTGGTTTCTCCCAAGGTTTTTTCTCCATTCTGTCACCGATGGAGTTTTGGTTCCTTGCCGCTGTCACCTCTGGCTTGCTTAGTTGGGGACACTTAATTTCCAGCGATATCGTCGACTTGATTTCACAGATACAATTTAAACTGAACTGAGCTGGATGATGACATCACTGAATTCAATGATGAACTGCCTTTAACTGAAAATTTAGTGTTTACTAATGTCATTTTGCATTATTGACACTATTTTCCTATTTAATGCTGTTAAATTGCTTTGACACAATCTGCATTGTTAAAAGCGCTATATAAATAAAGGTCACTTGACTTGACTAATAATTGCATACTCTACTGTTAATCAACTCAAGTCCAGCATTAACTTAAGTAGATCTTGAGATAGATTCTGGGTATAGTAGTAGGTATTTACCTGCTTGAGCTGAGTCATCAGTGCGTCTGTGTTGGTGTACACTGCTTGTCTCTCTTTATCATCCTTCTTCCTCTTCTTCCAGCGTGACAGCGGTTTCTCAGCCCCATTCTTTGGTGTCCGCTTGTTGCGTTGTTTTTTTTTGCATTGCTCTGGCACAGAAGGCTCCAAATCTGGATTGCCTGTCAAATGGCTATTTAAGCCACTCTATAGACAATAAACAACTCTTTCAGCTCCAAGAAGACCAGAGAGTCCAAGGCTAGCTAATAAACAATCAAACCTCACTTCACAATTTCACAATTCTGTACTTTGCAAAAAGCTACTTTATTGACATCCCACATTACCAACCAACCAATAAAGTATTAAATGTGAAAAGATGGCCAGATTATTCAATCTGTAATTTCATTTCACTAAACATTTTGGAAAAAGGGCAAATTAATTACTGAATTATAAATGGATGTGTAAAGCTCTTTAACATATTTAAACATCACAAAACAAAAATTCAATAATGTCACCTCATCTATCTACATTTACAAAAGTGTTTACATGTTCATGATTATGATTTTTAGTTTCACATTTTTAACCAGCTGTGTAGCGAGGTAACCATAAAGCTCTTACCGAAGAATCTGTGCTGTCCAGTCTTAAAGAGCCTTTGCTGTCTGTTAGCCCCTCATCCTCTGATCGTATACTGTCATTTGACATCTGATGTATGAGAGGTGTTGAGGAAGTGGGAGGCGTGCTCTTGTTCTTTAGAAGGTGTTTGAGTAACTCATTTCCAGTGTCCACTTTGGTGCTCTGAGCTGGATTCTGGGATGGTGGGCTGGGGGAGATTATCTCATTGCCCTCTTCCATCTTTACTATTCCAGTTCCTCCTGCGCAAGTCACTGCCTCTCCCTCAGCCTTCTGGCACACACTGGCTTCTAGCTTTTCCAGCTTGATATCATGGAGGAGGCCTCGCTCTGCCTCAGAGCCCACACTGCACTGTCGCCCAAGTGGAGTACCTCCATGGATTGGGTTCTCCAGCTCCGAGGATGGTGGCTGGGCAGTCATATAACTTACGGGGTTGGAAAACTCTGAAGTGTCCTGGTCTCCCATGATGGCAACACTACGTGTAGGGGTTGAAGAGGTGTCTGATACACATGGCGTAAGTGGGGCAGTTATTTCAGAATGTGGTGTGGAAGGAGTTTTGCCCGAATCTGCATCATCATCCAGCTTCTTCTTTCGACTTCTTTTCTTTTTGCCCTTCTCCTCAGGGATGATGTTGGAGTAGAGTTGGATGAGGGACTGCCCTGACCCAGGGAAATTGGGAGGTAAAGGGGTTGTGGAATCCATACCAAATGAGGAACCTTCACCTCCACTGTGGGGTGGCATTCCATGCCCTCCAAACCCAGGTGCACGTGGCTGACCTGGGGAGAAACCATGCATCATGGGGTTCTTAGCTTGAAAATTAGGACCCATATCTGGGCCAAAGGAGCCATTCACAGGCATAGGTCTGTGCTCGCCACCTTGCAAAAAGGCTGGACCTGGACCTACAAAGTCTAATGGCATATTTCCTTTTTGAGGGAACACTGGGCCCATTTGCTGTTGTTGCTGTTGAGGCCTGGGTGTCTGCATGAATTCCTGTGATAGGTCAGAATTATAGAAGGGCATCTGGGCAAGACCACCCCCACTGTTGTCAGGGCCAAGCCCCAAGCCCTGCTGCTCCAGTTCTAGCCTCTGCAAAGCCCTTTGTCTTTCCACTTCCTGCATGAGCTGCACCCGCTGTTTTTCCTGCTGCTCTTGAAGGCGCTCTCGGCGCTCCCGCTCCTGGAAGCCTTCACTAAATGGATTATTATCATCAAACTTTACATGAGGGGCACTACTGCTGGATCCTCCACCATTACTTCCACCTACAGGGCCAGGCTGATCAGGTTTACCACCTGGAACCATAGAGGGAGGTGGCTGTGCCTGAAGAGGCTGAGTGAGGTTAGGCAGTGGCATTTGAGGGGGTAGGTGAGGTGGCATCCTGGGTCCACCCATTGGTCCAGCAGCACTTGGATGCCAACCTGGCACACTGGGCATGCGAGTAGGCTTACCAAAGTGGGGTTGTTGCACTGGCAACACAGAACCCATCATAGGCTGCCCTATGGGGGGTCCAACAGGCATCATTCCAGGGGCCTGTCCTGGCATTCCTGGAATAACCTTCATTGGACCCATCACACCAGGCTGGAGGCGCTCTTGCTGTTGTTGCTGCTTGACACGATATTCCTCAATGAGTTCAGCATGTTCTTTCTGTTGCTTCCGTATCTAAACAGAAATGGAGAGAGAAATATGTATGAACTAGGGATGTAACGATTAACCGCAAGCCAGTTGAAAATGTATTCAAATATGTGACGATTCAAATCGGTCGAGATGCTAAACAAATCGCGATTCAATTAGGGGTAGGAGTTTATATGAATGTATCTCTGAGGGGAACTTACCGTCTTTAGAAAAGTTTAGATGGTATTTTTTCTTTTCATCTTGCCTCTGTATAATGCATATTAAAGTTCATAAGTGCAGCGCTGCTTTGTTTACAGCGGAAACCAAGGAAACACTTTAAGTGCCACATGCTGGCAGAGAGTGAATCTGCGTCTCATTCAGCTCGTCTGCTGTTTCGGTTTCATGCAGATATTTTTTATGTATAGTTTCACAAAACTGAAGTCAAACCATTCCGTTTAAGCTTTAAATTTTGAAATTATACAATCTAATTTAGATTAAAAACCACTCATGTTGCATGTATGCAGCATCTTTGTTTGGATCATGATTAAAATTGCAGTGGTTGCCTCTAAATTTAAATGGAAAGAGCACAGAAAAAGCCATATTTTGCTTATATGAAGACATTTCGTTTATTTGTGTTAATTATTTGATTTGGGGCTTGTTTTAAAATGTCAATTTAGTTTTGTTATTTACATTTACATTATATTTAAATTTTGTTATTTAGCAGACACTTTTATCCAAAGCGACTTACAAATGAGGACAATAGAAGCAATCAAAACCAACAAAAGAGAAATAGTATGCAAGTGCTATAGTAATATATTATAAAAATTCCACAAAGAAACGTGCAGCATTTTGTCCAAGCAATAATAAAAGGACACATTTAATTTATAATTTGTTTTAAATCTCATTTTGTTAAAAAAAAGTGAATCAAATCGAATTGTGAAATCATAATCGTGAATCGAATCGAATCGTGAGTTGAGTGAATCGTTACATCCCTAATGTGAACAACATATATAATGCAGTTTATATTATTCTGAAAAATGCTGACCAAATACCAGGTTGTTAGTGTTAATGTCAGAGCATAAATCAGGAACTGAGGCCCTAGATGTACTTACTTTCCACGCCATTGACAAAAATCATCAGGGAGCCGCTGCTATCAATATGTGGGGTATTTAAATTGCTTTTAAATGAGCGCTCGCTATTCACTTTCGATTTCACAACCACACATACTCTGTGTAAAGGGAGCAGATCTGACATGATAAGATATTTGTCAATGAACACAGGATCTGTTGAGCAGCAAATCTTCCAGCATGGTCTTGTCAGTCATCTCTCCTTACTCTCGACCCGTGATCAGTCAAATCTGACAGCACGTTTTGGATGCAGGGTTGTCAAGTCCTTGTTTTGTTTTTTTTCACAAAATTGGGCTACTTTTAAACTTTTGCCATGGGTTGATTTTTTTCCACCCGTGGGTTAAAGGTTTGAAATATTTCATAAATTACATTTGACTGAAATGCTTTCATTTAAACATTTTGCATTCTATGTAAAATAAAACTGTGCTAGATGTTAAGTTTTGTGAAGAAGGGCCACTAGTAAGAAGCCTTTGAGCTGTGTTTATGATCAATGTACATAACAGTGATGGTAAAATATGCATTTTAGGTACAGAAATGACATTTTAAGTTTTGATATTTGGGATATGGTCATTGCACTACTTTGGGCTATTTTTGACTGGCATGAGCTAGTTTTGTCATGCAGACCTGGCAACCCTGGCTGTGTGGAACAGAGCAGATGCTTTTAGTTTAGTGTAACATGTTTTCCAGCTGAAGTAAATGATTTCTATTTCTATATAAAAAAAATAATTCAAAACAACAGTGGGGGCGGTGGGCAAGTAATGTAATCCCTGCGGGATCCAATCCCAATGCAGCCCTCTAAATAAAAAGTTCCTGCTTTAATAAAGGCATATTCTTTTTACTGTGCAGTGACAGTTTGTCTTATTGACAGTTTATCTACTTTGAGTGGCATGTGTGCAAGGGGGTAGCTCTTAAAATAAAATCAAAATTTGACTGGTTGCCCCGAAGTGAACCACTCCCAACTTGATTGACAAGTTGATTAAAAAAATGGCAAGTAGAGAAATTAAAGTCACTTTAAAATTAAAGTTTAACTACATTTTTAAACATGGTTTAAACTATTTGGGTGGATGATTTTAATAGTTATTCTTCTTTAAATAACTATATTACCTGTTCTAATTGCTTTTGAACCACACTTTGCTGTTCAGTCACATGTTTCAGCTGTTCTGCATCTTCCTCTGGGAACTCCCGTCCAGCTTTTTTCGCAGTGCGCTGTTTTGCAGAGAGGGCCTTTTTAGATTTTCTGTGGGTCCCAATCTGGTCCTCTAAAAACTTCTGTTGCATTTGAAGAAGCTGTTGAGTTTCCTGAAGCCACTCCTCATATTGTTTTCTCTGAGAATCATCTGGAAAATAAAAAGATGTGAGATTTATGGGATGTCCAGCCTCAATTGATTCACTTTTACAATGATCACAATGACAAAATAACACTTACTGATAAACAACTCATCGGTAAATGCTGAATAATAATAATAATAATAATAATGACAATAATAATAATAAACTTACTGACAAACCCTGGTCCAAAGTTAGGGGGATTGGGTCTCGCAATCTGTGGTGGCAATTTTCCATCCTAAAAGGAAATTGTTGTATATGCCATTACAACAGGTTTAATGCTGATGAGATAAGGTAATAAGACAAAATAAACCTGTGGACATACCGGTCCAAAAAAATGTTGCGAAAAACCAGCTGTATCTGGGCCATGCGATCCTGGAATCTGTTGCATTCTACCACAAAAGAAAGCATGGAGAGTACTCAACACAAAGAAATGAACCACTGAAAATCGCATGTGGCCATGTAAGTAAAGAATTAGGCCAGTCAGGTAAATAAATAACTTTTTGCATTACTGTGGTAACTGCTCAGAGGAGCCAGTTTACATAGTAAAGTGTTTACCTGTTCATAACAATGGGTGTCATACCCATACTGTTCTGTACCATCACTTTGTTGATTCCCTTCAGAGCCACCATCTTTGCCTTCATGATTGGATCAGTAATTGCATCAAAGTCTACAAAGTAATAAAAAATCACCACAGAAATTGCATGATTGCGATTAGTACATCACAGTTATATTAAAATTTAATTTCAGTATTTTTTTTCTATTCACATTTAAAGTATTTGAGGTTCTGAAGCTTAAAAACACATACATGTAAACCTAAATTCTAAATATTTAAAATAAGCAAAAAATTGAATATTAAAATATTGTACAAAAACTATATTCAGTAACAGTACAAACAAAATTGTAAATTTGGAGCTGCTCACAGTATAGAATCAAGTCAGGGTTTAACTACTTTATTGACAATGTAGAGGTACAACAAAATCATTTATCAATTAGTCAAAGTTGAGCTTAGGCTTACCAATGTTATGGAAAAAAGGGTCACTTGACCGTTGTCTAATCATAGCCTGCATCTGCCTTTGCTGTTGTTGCTCCTGCCTCTCTTGATCCAGCAAATCTTGAAGAAGAAGGGGCTGCTCATCTAACAGAAGAGACCTGTTCTGTTGACTCTGTTGTGCTTGAGACCCTTGTTGCCCTGTAGCCCCAGGACTGAACATGCCTTGTTGAGTTTGGTGATTTACAGGATGGGGAACAGGCTGCTGGCCACCAACCACATGCAGGTTTAGATCCACTTGTTGTCCTTGTGAAGGTCCAAAGCCTTGAAGTGCTACCTGCTGGTTACCAGACTGTATCAAATTTGTGTTACCTAAAAGTGCCCCTTGGGTTAGAGATTTATCTATCCTGTGCCCCATTGGTACTCCAGGGTTTATCCTTTGTTCTTGGGGTTGTCCTTGCAGCATCACCATACTCATGTTTGAGCCAAGATTAGTCTGGGCATTTGGGTCACCTGGGATAGGGGAAATTATGGATTCACTCCTAGTGTCCTCTAGCTTTTCCTTGATCAACAAACTTGACAGCACTGGAACAGATCCAGTATGCACAAAAAGACCATCATCTTGACCACTTCTACTACTCATACGCCGATGCTCTTCACCTGAGGTTCCAAGTCCTTGGCCCTCAGTTTTTATCGTTTCAGACTGAGAATGATCCTGGACCTCTTTTGGCATACTCTTTTCTAGTTTGACATCACTATGACCCTGTATGCCCTCTGGTTTAGGTTGAGCTGAGGACATACCTCCACATCTGGCATTTCTTTTTTCTGCCAAGGCTTTCTGAAGGTCTGAGGTATCCCCATGGTCATCTTCTATATGATCACTCAGCTCCAGCTCTTCATTAAACATATCTTTTTTGTCCTCAAGGTTAAGCTCAGGATCTGCATAAGCAATAAGATCAAACTTTCCAGATTCCAGAAGATCATCAAGATGTAGATCATTTGTTTCCAAGTCTAAATCTTTGCCATCATCTGCATCAAGGTTCAGGTTGTCTAGGTCTTCATCAACCAAGTCTTTGACCTCCACATCATCAAGGTCCTTCACAGCAGAGTCATCTGTTTCTAGCTTCTCCACACCATCGCTACATGGAAATGGGATTTCCTCTGTTGGACCAGAGGTTGTGACAAGAAGTAGAGCAGATTCGGCTGAATCACTTCTAACCGAATGGCTAAGTGGTGCTGCCAGAGGTGTCTGTTGTGGAGTTGTATTTGTATGGTGATGCAAATTATCCATAGTAGCTGAGGTCTGTAAGTGATTGACTGGCCCTTGTTGTGACTGGCCCAACATCGGATCCATAATTCTGGGACCTTGGTTTCCTGTAAAGGCCATATTTTGGCCTCCCATGAAGCCATGAGGTGGTCTCTGAGAATGATTAGGATGGTCCAAAGCATTAGGTGGACCAAAAGGTAATCTGACCCTCTTCTCTGGAGCCCTGTGACAAAGTTCAATAAATGATTGACCCATTATATTATGCTGTTGCAATTGAAGGCCACGTGGGGGAAAATGCTGGGGTAGGCCCATTTGATGATTACTGCCTATTGACCTAACAGCATCAGCAGGTCGTCTCATATGTGGTGGAGTACTGTCAACCATTGGTCCACCTTGTATCTGGTGAGGGGGCCTGAGGAAATGTTCTTGGCTTGGAGTTCCAGGAGGATATCCAAATCTGGAAGGAATTAGGTTTTAAGAGAACTTAAACTAAATTAATTACTAGTTTGACAGTACAATTGATGAAGGAAAAACACTTACTTTTGTCCTTGCTGACTCATGCCAGTGTTGTTTAGATCTCTGGGGAATGGTAGTCGGGAGCACTGGGGCTCATCAGGCATGTGCCCACACTGATCAGCAAGGAAAGTTCCAGGAAATCTTTGACCTGGATGAATTGGTGAAGATCTCACAGTACCTGGATACGGAGGTGGGGGTCTACCAAAAATATATTTCTGAGGTCCAGAATCATCCTGTGACCAATGCCTTGGAGTCCCAGGTGCAGCAACAGGAGTTGCCTCCTGGAGTACCCTTTCCTGTCTGATTGCGCTTTTCTGCTGCTGCTGTTTGAGGATTAACTGCCGTAGTCTTTGGCGCTAAAAAGAGCAATAACAATATACAATAAATAGCATGTCATTAAAAATAGAACCGAGATTAAAGGAAAAAGGTAATGTTCTCTAATGGCAAAACACGTTTGTTTTCAAACCTGTTTAATTTTCTCTTCAGTCTCTCCAAGTGGTGGTTGCATTGTGTTCTGTGTATCTGATGGGTTGCCAGTGTTTACTGGAACATCATGTGACAGTCTATCCCCTGTTCGTGAGCATAGGGTTAGAGGAGCTTGTTCAAATGAATCATGAATAGGTGTCTGGTTAGGGTTTGACTGTTGTAGAGAGAGAATTTCATCTGAAATCCCAGGATGTTTGTGGGTTTGAGAATCAAGAACACAGGGACAAGCAAATGGGTCTTGCATTCTACTGTGTGCTTGATGGTTAAGTGGATCTGTTTGATGGGACATGAAGTTTACTCTTGGAATTGATCTAGGGAAGGCTTCTGGGTCAATTCCTGGATGTGGGGTTCCAGGGGGTTGAGAATATGGGTCAGTAAGAACTGGCCTTGGTGTTCCTAGTGGTTGATGATAAGCTTCCTTTTTGATTGGCCTAGGAGTTCCAGAAGACTGTGAGAATAGATCTGAGGTTCTCTGACTACTTGGTGATTTAGGGTATCTCTCTTCAGAAGAAGGCCTTGGAGTTCCTGGCATCTGAGCATATGGATCGATAGCATGAGATGGAGATTGCCTGCGACTGTTAGTTTGTGACTGAGAAAACTGATCAATTGTGGCAGTTCTAGGTGTGGATGGTGGCAATGTATATGGATCAGAGTGTGGTCTTGGGGTACCAGGCATCTGGGCATATGGATCATATGGTCTAGGAGTACCAGGAGGCTGAGCATATGGATCCGGCATTTGCTGAATGTAGTCTGGTCTAGGTGGTGCCTGTGAATATGGATCTCGTTGAGGGTGTCTGCTCATGGGCAAGGGTTGGGCAAAATGACTGCCTTGTCCTGGACGCATCATTCTGCCCTCATTACTGAAACCATCTCCCATTGATGGATGAGGTGTAAGAGGCTGATGTGAATAAGGGTCAGAATGTTGAACTTGGGATAAAGTGTCAGATGACCCCCTTCTCATGCCTTGCTGCCCTGCACTGAATGAGTCTTGTTGTAACTGGGAAGGAGGCACGGGTGTTTTGAACACTGGCACAGATCCTGATTCATTACTCCCCGGAATAGGTGTTAAAAGTGGCCTAGAGTAGGGGTCAGAAAGAACCATGCGGCTGTGGGCCATGCGCTGGTAAGCTTCTGATCTTTGGCCTGGTCTGGAAAAACTGTCTCCAGGTGTGACATTACTGATAAAATGTCGTCCTTGTTGCTCAGATAATGGTCCTGGTCTAGGTGGACACATAGGTTTCACAAAAAGGTCTGATGGTCGAGGTGTGTCTGGAGGCTTTGCATATGGGTCAGTGCTAGCGGATGTTGGAGACCCAAAGGATTCATGGGCTGGTGACACAGAACCTCTACGAGGTGTGCTTGAACCAGATGGTGGTGGCCTGGGGGTTCCCACCATTTTGCCATACGGATCCCATGGAGAAGAAGGACGGGATCCAGATGATTCAGACGAAAACATTTGAGGAGACTGAGGCTGAGATGAGGGACCCTGTGGGTACGGCGTGTCCTGGGTAGGGGTCATTGCTGTGGATGAAGGGGGTGGTGGTTGAGGACGTAGAAATACATCATCTGTTGATGCAACTGATGTTGCCGTTCCAGGCATCTGAGTCCTTGTAAAGCTATCCTTGGGGTTTAATGTTTGCAAAGGAGAAGCATTACCTCCACTGCTGGGCTGTGTTGCCATTGGACTCTGATTACCACTTTTAGAGGCGTCTCCACTGAATTGTTGTTGCTGCTGTTTCTGAAGTTGCTGCTGCTCATTTTTAACCTGTTCTAACTTTTGCGTGGCTTCAATTTTTGCCTGTTGTTTGCTCTTTTGTCTCATTTGCTGCCATGAACAAAAAAAAACAAGATACCAGTTAATTAAGCCATAGCACTTAAACGAAAATTGCAGTATTGATTTTTTTTTGTGGCAAAATTATTTTAGTTTATTTATTTTCCAAACACTTACACACCATATTTGTTGGTACTGGGTCTTGGCAAAACATATGCCAGAACTGTACCTCAACCTGGGATCCTAAGAAATTATCCTTTCAAAACATCCCGCAACTATGGCTGCTTGAATGTTATATCTAAAAAGGCTATGTGTATTTGTTAATTTTAAGGTTTTGATTTTCAGGACATTTTCCTGCTGTTTATTAGGCAAACCTTAGATTGCAAGTTTACAATGACAAGGCTGAATGTAAAATGATTTAGAAGACTTTGGAAAACTGAAAATAATGCTATAATGACCATTAAAATGCATGTGCATAATAAAATGCTAATTTTTTATTTTATTTACTATTTAATGCTTTAAAGCAGAACTGACTTCTACTTGTTTTGATGCAAAGCTTTGTCATATGGCATATTTGCATTTGATTGATTTTGCATACTGCATTTCATTCTGACAAATTAACAAAACTAGAGCAATTGCTGATCACATCCATTTGAATTCACATCCTCTAACAAAGGCTTAGATTCAACTGAATTCAAACAGCTATAAAAAAAAATCTAATTCTGATTAACGATAATATAGTGCTGATGAACTAGTTTTTTAAACATCAAGGTGAATGCTGTGATCAGAGGTTGAGCCACTACATTTTGCATAACAGTCTCACAGTCCAGCATTTGCAGTGAAATATCCCTTGGGCTGTCAATCACCTGTCTGAACTTCCACTCTTGTTCATGCTCAGACTCCTTGTGCTTGAGCGGGTCTTTGAAGAGCAGATCTGTGTCCATGGGAACATTGGGATCAAAAAGATCAGCTGGCTGCTGCTGTTGCTGTCCTTGCATTGTGTCATTAGACAACTGAACTTTGTTTATACGAAGGGCTGCTCTGTTGTCTCTAGCCTTTTGCTAGTGGGTCAGAGCCAAGAAAGAAGTAAACATCTTCATATATGTATATAAACACATCCAATTTTAGCATTTATGAGGCTTAACAGAGTCTCTTACCACATAAGGCGCCCTTTCCTGAGAACTAGCTTTCCTCCATAACTTTGCAATTTGCTTCACTCTAGTTGCCCAATCTGTGAAAAAAGTCAGATGGTTGGTCTCTAACTTGACTCCATTTTAAGTTGACAATTCTATTTGTAGTGTTTTAGGATAATACATTCACCTGGAAATTCATCTCGAAGGTTAGGGAAGTTCATATTGGTGTAAAGAACAGGAGCCACAGTGGCCATTTCATCAAGAGTTTCTTCTTTCTCCCACTTTAACGTGCTCCTCTGAGCATTGGACATGGTGTCAGTCTCCACCTCTGGAGGAGGGACAGATTCAGGCACGGGAACAGGAGAAGCCCAGGGATCAATCACATCACCCCCTATCTGGCTGAATTTCTTCTCCCTGTAGTGAACATATCAAGCCATTAAGTGTCACTGAAACTATTTAGATTTTACAAACAGAAATGCCAGTACCAATCTATGTTACTCAGAATATGAATTCACTCACCTCACATTTTCTGGAAAAGGCATGCGGTGAATGGAAGAGAATGTCCCAGACACTCCAGCTCCAGTAATCACGGGGTTTGGAGGAAAGTGGGTGTTTGGCCCCATCATGCCATTCATCATAGGCATGCGTAGGAACATTCCACCAACATCTCCTGTAAATGAGACCATGGAGAAACATGCACTTTTAAAATGAGCAGTACATTTTACATGTGATACTCAAGTTAAAAGCACACAACAACATCACATCTTGGTAGTTGGCTTGACTGTTAATATGAAGAGATAATGCAGACAACTTGATACCTGGGTTCTGAAGAGACATTGCTGTAGCCGAGGCATTGGGGGCAGTGTTGGGTGGATGAGGAAGTTGAGGAGGCTGGCTGGCGTTTGGACTGAGCACTGCGGTGAATAAGTCTTCCACATCTTTACTCTCCAGCTCTAAATGGAATCAACAGAATGAAGGATTTTCATATCTAAAGACTTTTTACAACAGAAACATCTGCTCTGTTGACGAATGTCGTCAAAACATTTTAGAAAACAACAAACCTGGAATTTTGTAGAACTTATTCAGAATGGCCCCTGTAAAAAAGAAAATATAACTAGGCCATTAAACAAAATTCAACATTCAGACATTCAAATATATCACAGCATAGTAACTAAGGTGTCACCAAACACCAATTTTTCACGTACGAAATGCCAAACTATTTTTTAGTTATTACATTTAAGTCTGCAAACAATAATCATTATTAACAAGTTAGAAAAACTGCTAAGGTAAATCACTTGTTTGCTATGGAACAATAAACAAGAAATATTAATCATTTAATTGGGATGAAATTTAAACTTGCTGCAAAGGTGGCATTGTATGACAGTACCATTCTTGAATTCACTGAGCTCTTCAGAACAACCTTTTTTTTCACAAATGTTTGTGAATGCAGACTGCATGGCTAGGGGCTTGATTTTATACACCTGTGGCAATAGGTCTGATTGAACCACCTAAATTCAATAAATCAAGAGGTGTGTGCAAATACTTTTGTCCATATAGTGAATGCATTTAATCTGTGATGTGTGTTAAGTAGTACAAAAATAGGATAATTATTATTTTTAAACAAAATAATAAAAGTTCCAATAGCAAAGTGAATGTAATCCACGACTCTTACCATCGGAAACCATCTTATCCAGCTCAGGACTCAATATTACATCCAGTGGTTCTTCCTGTAGTGGTTGAGACCCTCGAGCAGGGCCAGGTTGAGGAGGAGCTGACCGATCGTCCGGCAGGATGCCAATGTCCAAACCAGCTGAAAGAAAGGGAAAGATAAACAGCTACTCTCAAACTTAGTTTCTTATCTCTACTGAATACAAAACTCAACTTGCAAAAATCTAGAGAAAAACAGAGCTGTCATTCTGTAAATGCCTAAATCAGTGTTGATAAGCAATTTATTTTCTCCTGTGTCTGAGTGTTTGCTAAGATAAGGAAGTAAAACACTGAGAGAGAAAGGACTGTTTTTTCATGTCATGGAAAAATGAGGAAAACATTTTTTTCTCTCTCTCTCTCCCTTGCTCGCTCTTTCATCCCCTCCACTAACTCAATTTTCCAAGAAAAACAGGAACCTAATTAGTGTTGCCTGCTCAACTGAGTGTGAAAAAGTCTCTTAAAAAATGGATGTTCTTTCATCATTGCATATCGTTTCCCATTAGAATAGATGAGAGCTTAATCAATGAAAAAGCAAGCAATTGCAATGATTAATAATAGTAAATGTTGTCATCAAAATCAAAGAGTCAGCCATTGTGCTTTGGTCTAAATGCAGAGGTGAGCTTTCCAGTGACAATTACACTGGTTTCACGTAAAGTTCTTGTTCCAGGTTTAAAACAGGTTAAGCTCTATCAACAGAATATGTGGCATCAGTTGTCTATGGGTGCAATGCAAGTCTGTTACAGGGTTTTTAAAAGCATTTAGTATTTTTGTTTAAACACTAGCATGACTTTTTTTTTCTTACAAAAAATGTAACTATAACTTCATACTTATAAGGTTAGTGAGCAATTTTAATCACACAAATATTAACATGTATAATGTTTAAAGTGTATAGCCTTGCAAGCTATAATTTTGAAATAAACAGTGGAGGTTTTAACATTTTTGTTGTTTTGACTGACTAACATTGTAATTGCACTACCTTAAAACATGAATTTGTTTTGTTTTAGTTTTTTTTTTACAAGGTGAAGGATAAATCAAAATTATATTATGATAGCATGTTGTCAATACAGCTTAAGTTGTATTCCAATCGAAACATTTCTCTAAACCAAGCACCTTGGTATGCACTTAAAAACAAACCCTTATATATTTACATATATATATTGCACACCGAGGTTACGCTACAAATGATAATTATCTTTCACTTTGACAAATTGGGTTGCACATTTTATGTCATGTTCTATGTTTATCCATCTGTAAAATATTGTAACATTCAGTATTTTAAATAAGAGACCACTAAACCTTTGACAAGGGTAGCCAAGTCCTTATCAAGCCGTGTTGCATTTCTTTCATCTTATTCTGCTCTCATATTTTTTTTTCGTTCACTCTTATGTCTCTCTCCTAGTCTGTTTTCACATTCTTAGGTACACTTTAAAACTTTAATTTTTAGCTTTGTTCACTTCTAGTCCCTTTAAGCCTCCTTTCATTGTGGGAATGTTTCTAAAGTACTGTTGGGAATTACTGCAATTATTTTTATTATTATTATGTATTTTATTTAAAGAAATTTTTTAACAAATAGTTAGCTGTCAATGTTAAAATTCTGACTGACTTTTTTAAAAGCATAACCTATGACTGCATGTTTATACACCATACGTTAAAGGGAAACCAAGAGTAAAACTAATTTTTGGTAACCTCGTGGAACATGCTTTCACACTGAAGCAGTTGCTTCAACTCTAAACCACTAGTTTTTCCACTGCAAGGCCATTCCACAAAGAGAAGGGAATGTGTCCTTGCCAACTAAAAAGCTGACAATTAGGCAATTTTTTTATCATCAACTCAATTAGACCCCTGAGAAAAGAAAAAGAACACAGCACATATCAAGCACACTTCAGTAAAATGTCACAGATTGCAAACAATCACATTTTCCAACTAAGGTACAGTTGCGGCCAATCCCAACATCCATTTAAGGACAGTTTAGTTTTCACCTCAGTGTCACAACAGGTTCATGTGCAAGAAAACATGCAGTTTGTTTGTGGTTAGTAAAAAGAGGCAGAAAGCCAAAGATGACTGTGTGTGTGTTTGTCAGAAAAGGGATCATGCAGAACTGGCACTACAAAAAGTCTGAGGTCCTGTTTGGGGGGACACAGCCAGAGAGGCTGTGCCAACAGGGCTCTTACCGAATGGAGAGGGGGAACTGTCCACCTGGAAATGGCATAAATCAAGACCTACAAGAACCCAAACCAGATAAAACCAAATAATTATAAAACAGAAATGCAGAAAAAAATTAATTAAGAAAAAAGTAGGAGGATGCCAAGACAACAAATAAGGAGAAACACAGCAAACCTGGTAAAATACGAAATGCAAGTGTGAAAAATGTGAAAGAAAGAGATGCAGCAATTGTGAAGACACAATTGCAGGTGTCCTTTCTGAGATTGTTCGAGCATCTGCAAAGTGAAGAGAGAGGGGATACTATCCTATGGACAGATCTTGGGACTAAGTCTACCTGATTCAGTGCCTGGCTTGACTAGGTCATCGGACAGCATTCCCAGGAGATCATCATCTGAATGTAGAACCAGCTCGGCTAAGGGATCCTCCACATTGGCTAGAGATCAAGAAGACAAGCGTTTCTGAGCACGAGTATCCATACTAATCACCAAGTGCTCTTCATTAAATGTTACCAAGGGCAGGGCGGTAAGACATATACTGCACTGTGTCAACCGGACAATCTTCTTGATAATAGGGGTGCAACTTCTGTCACTTGGACACGGTTTGGATTTTAAAAAACACAATATCATGAACAATATTATACACTGTCATGAGAAGCTCAAAACATTCTCAGTTTTGGAACAGAGCCATACTGTTAGTGTAACATAAAATTGCTCACGTTGCTGTATCCACCTTAAACATTAAGGGTGACATGTCCTTTCAAAAAAAATTTTTTCAATGACATTTGCACCTCCTGCTCCACGCCTTCAAAATTTTGTTATATCCTGAAAGTGGTATAAGATTTTAGTCATACCACCCACCCCTAATTTAACTGAACTATTCTTTATAATTTCATTAGCATTAATTGCATAAAGATGTATGCATAATACGATTCCCAAATCAAACACTTGTTTCAAGACTAAACCTGCATGAAAGGGTTAAACACAGGAATCTGCAGGGCAGAAAAAGAAGCTTCACTCTATGGGGGATGAAAATCTCTAAGGACAAACAAGCGGCCCTGAAAGCCTTCAAATAGCTTTGTGATTGCTCTCCAAACGAATACGCACAGGCCTTCTAAACACTGCACTGTGACTGCCAGCTTCCTATCCTCCCAGAGAGCTCCGACAGGGAATTCAGAAAAGTGCTAGCAAATTGGGTTTTAAAAACATGTTAGGTTGGCTACGAGCAGAGGTCTGCTGGGCTGAGTGTAAATGAGGGTTGACAGAACTGAGGATAAGAAGAAATGGTGAAGAATGAGGCGTCTGAACAAGCTCTTCAGCCTATAAGAGTATGCAAATCAGGGCTGAAGAAGACACAAAATGAGCACATGGGGGTAAAAAAGTTCATTTGTATGGTTCATCTTCTTTAGTCCCTGTGGCAAAAGATGAACCGAGATGGTCTCTAATGCAAACCACTGGAGTTACAATGTAGGATTCTGCAGTACTGTTGGGTTGTGTGATGCATTCAGTGTGTGCAGATGGGAAAGCGGGAGGAACGGTGATAATGTGCACTATATCTCCCTGCAGAATTCACTGCAGTCTAGAGCAGAAAAAATGACCTGACTGGTCAGAGCAGAAAAAACTATTTCATCTCTAAACAAAGGCAAATCACATTGGGGGTAGGAATGTCTATTTTCTCTGGGCAGTACTCTGTGTGTGTATTTGGAAAATGTGTGTGTAGGTACAGCTGAACATACGCAGTGGTCCTGCTTTAGACGAGACTGGAGTGGAAGTGGTACTCAGAAGTGGGTCAGATAAAGGGTCAAGGAAGCTGCTGCTCTGTGATTTACTGTCTGCATGACTGGCTTCTTCCTCCACAAGCCCTGTTTTCAGAGCTGGCTTGGTCTGCTTGCTTTTACCCAGAAGTTCTTTCCCAAAAAACGCCTCCTGTAACATAAACATGTACACAAGTTAATAATGCACAAGCACTCCAAGTTCATACTAGATTTTCACACTCTCAAGAAAATATTAGTTGTTTTTAACTGCAAAAACTGCACAAAAAATGCCCTGGGTAGTTTCTAGTGCACTGTTATGCAGTAGTTACAATGTTCTGGGTACTTGCTAGGTGATTCCTAGGGTAATCTGAATGGTTAATCCAAGTCTTTATGACATTTTGCTGTCTAGATATGGCTCATCCTTCAATGTAAATTAATCACAATTTTTTTTCTGCCCATTTTGCCACCCATCAGGTGAAAATCATAGGTTTTTTTTGCTGAAATTTTTATGCCCTAAATGTCAAAAGGTTGCCACAGTGCTACACGGTGAAGCACGTTTGTACCACTTCAGAATATCTAACAGTACCAAACTACCAATGTGATGGCTCCCAGCAGTGTTAAAACATTAAAGGCCTAATGTGCTGCAATTTAAATCATTGATTCAAGACATTCCTCTGGTGATGACCTTTACGTCTAATTTCAGGTTTGACAAACAGGAACGCCTAAAGTGACAGCTGTTACAGTTAACGCATCACTGCATCTCCACGCTGAGCATGATGGTCTTTTTAAGAGCACGTGTCAACCCTGCACATGCTCACAAAATCCCTGATCACTTCATTTCATTCCTCAGTTCAAACACGCTCTGAGGTCCTGACAGGGATGCCTATGTTTACTGAGAGAACTAGTAATTAAGTAATTAGAAGACACTTTTATATAAAGTGACTTATGTAGTACACTTATTACAGCTTTATTCCTCTGGAGTGGCTTGTGGTTCAAATAATGTTCCAGATTCAATACAAGTTACGCTCTATTGACAACATCTGTGGAGTGTTCTCTGTTTCCAAAGAAAATAATTTAGACTCAGTTTGTAAAAACAAGCAAAATGGAAGTGTAAGGGGAAAGCCATTCCAGAGAGTTCAAATTGTACAGTTTGTTGAGGAACTTAAATTAATTCATCTTTATAAATTGGGTACGAGGGGAAGGCCTCCTCAAGTTTGGTTTTTTTCTTCCTGTATCTCTTCTTGACTTTCTCCAGAGGCTCACTGATGATGGGTGTCCCATCCACAGGATTGTCTGGTTCATTCCAACCTGGTGAAAAGATCAACTTGATGCAACAACTAAGAGTATACCAAAATAAATATACATGAAAACCTGAGATGTCCAGACCATACCTTCTTCCTTTCCTGTGAAGTTCTCTGTAAGTGAGCTTGTGGAGTTTTTCCAACTGAGAGACCGCTTGCCTTTCCCCTGCCCTGCTTTGCTCCTCTGACGCACCATAAACCCACCAATACCTATAGAGGGTGAAAGATGGGAAACCAAAATCTTATTTAACTTAAAATAGTGTCAGTTAAAAAAAATACAGCTGCTGGACCCCTAAACTAGATAATGAATGCAATCAGGAATTAATAACGTGGGACTCGGACAGTGAGGTCTTGACATTCATCTCTATAATTCAGGATGACGTATTAGCTTTGGGCCAGGAGAGGGTGATTCATCGTGGCTACATTCCTGGAGAAACCATTTCAGGTAAGTCTATTTCTGGTTGCACCACATTGGCTGAATCTGACCCAACAACCCCCACTCCACCACGGTCCACCGCATGGACACAGAGTGAGGAAAGACATAAAATGAAAACAGAAAATATAAAAATAAAATCTAATTCAAAATATTAACTATTAAATATTGACACTAAAAGAACAATGGTTTGATTCAAGAATGATGCCTAAAAACAAAATCTAATGGTCTAGTCGTAGTGATTGATTAACTTTTTTTTCTTTTTTAAATGTGATGTGTGCAATGTTTTAATGTCAAAACACTTTCTTAGCCCATTTGAATATGTAGAGACAATAATTTGAGCTTCTTTGGGCATCCTGATCAACCCAGCACATTAGCACTCATTCGACCAATGGTGAGAGTTTGGGGCAGGGCTAACATAAAAAAAAAAAAGGAAGTCAATTTTAAGCACAAACACATTCTTTACCTCTACTGTCGTCCATGTCTCCATCCCTGAAGAGCTCAGACTGGGGATCAGGGGTTGTCTGCAACACAGCCACACTGTTTTGATTGATGATCTTCAGCTTAAGTTTGGGTTTGGGTCGTCTGCGGCGGGCGGCCTGGACACATAAACTCTGGAGCTGGCACAAGCCTGACTCAGTCAGACACACACCATCCTGAGTGTAGGTCCGTTGGAATTCTGGCACAGAACAGAACACAGCAATGATGACTATCGCTCTGACACTTCAGCAATTTAAGTAACATAACTGTTACACAGCTAAATTAAATTAAAAAAAAAGCATTAATACCATTTTCCTTGACTTTCGTAAGAAGCTGTGCCACTACAGGAGGCTCGTTGATGTCCATGACCTTTGCCACTGTGCCACCTGTAACAACACAAAAGCAAGACGGAAGATTGACTTATTTCAGGTAAACACTGCGTATTCACAGTCATTTGTTTAGTTATTTATTGATAAGAGGACAGTCTGGAGCCATTAAAGGCAGATTACATTAACTGCTGCTTAATTCACATGAACAGGTTGCAGCTTGATTTAAAATTCAGCCCATCTGCTTTTTTTAATGAACCACATTTTGCTAGAACAAAGTTTCAATGACCAAAACACTCTAGTGTCCATCTGTTACAGAAAAAATTGTGCATCAACATGCACATCATACAGGAATCAACAAGAGACAATTCCTGAAGCACATTCACCTGAAGCTGCGATTAGGGCATTTTTGTTCAGACACGGAGCAAAAATCAGATTTTTTGGCATATCCAAATCAAATCTGTTTAGTTCTTTGTAGTTTGAACAAACAGATCGAGGCATGAACTCAATTTACAAACTCAATCCAAACTACAAACACATACTGATTAAATGTGATTTTTGAAAATGTGTTCATGTCTTACCAGGTGTGGACATGGTATGTGTTCTACATAGAGAGCAGTCAAAGCCCTCATCTGCTGCACTCTCCACCTCTTCATCAGAGTTCAGCCCCTGACATGAGGCATGAACCCACCTGCAGACCAAACGTCATGATTAGACCACATTCACAACCAGTCACAAAGCAAGCAAATATCACATGCTCAACGTGATGAATATTTTCCCCCATCAACACCTGCGTTTATTCATGTACTAATCTACTGCTGAGCCATTTCCCAGGATACTTTTTTATTCTGCTGTTATGGCATTTGGCATGATGGAGTGCCACCCACCTGTCACACTGCCGGCACTGTAGGATAAGCTCTTCCTGTCTGTAGCTACGCGCGCACACAGGACAAACCGTGAGACTCGCACACGGACCGCATTGCGTGTAGTTATTCTGCCACTCACAGCGCAGGCCAGGCGACGTGGCTCCACACTGAGTACACAATACACACCTGATGGAGAACAAAACATTTACACACCGATATAACATACATGAGAGTGCAAATACACATTATCCCAGACACACACACACTTTTAATCATAAATGTCTAAATCTATACTTTTACACTTATTTTGTGGCCTTTCTGTGAATGGACATGCCTCTTGTTTGCACAGGCTTAGCATTGACTGCACTGCCTTAAAAATAAATATTTAAATGGCTCCAATCCATGTAAAGCTCCGACCGAATGTGTCACAATGCAATACAAAACCCAGCTCTGTTTGAATGAGGATTACATGTGATATTACAGCAAATATGTAGGAAATCCCTTTCGATCTTGTTTGAAAACAGCTGCTAAAGATCAAGAGAGTGTTAGATGGGTAGAGAGAGAGAAAAAAAGAGATATGAAGCTAACAAAGAGATAGTGCTAAAGCACTGAGAGCGATAGTGAGATTTAAATGAAAGAAATTGACATGGCATCTGTAAAGAAAATGTTATATAATAAAGGTTATATTTCACCTCAAAATCAAGAGAAAGAACTAAAAGCTGTATTTTACATAAAGAAACTGAGGGGATGATTAGGATCAAGATTTTGCATAATGATGTTATGAAATACTTTTTTAGGACAATTAAGTACATCCTCTCAAATAAGTCAACATGACTAATGCACTATATTACACGTGTTCTTACAAGCTTTCTATGAGAAAGAGTTCAAAATTCAGCTCGTTATTTATGGAAAATGTTCCCCTTCACCTTAGCTCTCAAATATGGAGCTAAAACAGTCTTAAAATTAATATATTTACTAAATATGATTCGCAAATGCAAAAGCTACTTTGCATTCATAAAAATGGAATATATTTGCAAACAGCAATTTACAGACTCATAACAATTTCTATTGCAAAATAAGATGCACAAATGCAAAACAACTGTTAGATCTGCATTTGAAAATCATCATGTTTCTGGATCGTTATGGATTTTCATCTGCCAGCCATCATTTACATATTAGTGTTATTCATTCATTCAATGTTCTTGAATCAAAGACTTGTGAATCATATTTTGTAAATAATCATTTTCAAGCTATTGTAGCTCCATACACAAATCTCACTATCCAACCTGCATATTCAAACTGACAGGTCACATTCATTTAATACATGCAAGAAAAACAATGTGTTAATTTATGAGATTAACACAAGCTTGCAAATAATCTTGATGGTTTAAAAAAATGACAAAGATGAAGACAGAACTATGACAGTACACACTGGGCTACGGTCCAAAGCTGCATCTAATTTTAGTGAAGACTTCTGTTTGTGTGTGTGTACATACCACTTGCACTTCCAGCTGCCTTTGGGTACATTCTGCAGTGGTGGGTTCAGACAGTATGTGTGGTAGCTAATGTCACAGTCATCACAGAGCAGCAAGCGCCCGGGGTCACTGGCCTGCCCACATGCCTCACAAACTGTGCACTCCAGACAGCGCCAGCCTTTACTCAACACCACTTTTGTGATCTAAAACAGACACACACACAAACACACACTTGAGGTCAAAGCACTAGTTTAAAGGGTGATGGAGGGTTATATATTTAACAGGCTATAATCTGGATGGATATAAGAAACACAAAGAACACAGCAGTAAGATGTCTGTGGAGTCAAAGGTATTTGTCAGAATGATTTACTGGCATTTATAGATCAATGTATGTGGTGATAAATCATTCCAACCACAAAGTGACCAGGGGCAGTCAAACTCCAAAAGAGCACCATGAAAGTAGTCCATAACTCATCAGGTAAATTATAGGGTTAGTTTATCCACAAAATAAAAGATCTGAGAGATTTCTGTGCCTCCATTAAAAGTCCACAGAACCAAAACTCGAAGCTTCAAAATAATCCATATCAATCGAGCAGTTTCATTCAAGTCTTCTGAAGAGACACAATTACTTTATACGATGAACTCATTTATTTAGGCTTTTTATGCACATTGATCAATGCACTTACATACAGCACATCAAAACAGAAGTTCAACTGTACTTTCTTGGCATGAGAATGATGAGGTTTGTACGATTGAGCTGGCACTGACCATTTTTTAGGTGCTCTGTGTAAGTGCACTGGCAAATGTTTGACAAAAGCCTACATTAAAACTCTTTATCATATAAAGCAATTGTGTCTGTTCAGAAAACTTTAGGTTACTATTGTAACCCCGGTTTCTCTGACAGCATGAAGTGAAGTAGGGTAAACGTACCTATTGAGCTCACATACCCATTAAGCACACTTCCATATTTGAGCTCCGATTATGAAAATAAAAAATAATGTATTATCATACTTGATGTCTTAACCAATTGATGTGTTTGTTACTGCATACCTCCTGTATGTTTAAGTCAATCAGATCATTGCTCACTGAGATATGGCTGTCCATGTGTTCACACTGTCTGGAAGCCATTTTGAAAGTAGTCTGAAAACTTTCACCAAAAGAGTAGCTCCTTAAATGTGCTTTTTTTAAAAATAGATATTTAAGCCTTTATTCTGGGTAAGTTTCACTACTTATTGTAAAATTAAGAGATTCATGTTTAGATTTTTGCATATTATAACATGGAACTTGGATGTGGGAAATAATTACATTAGATCCAAAAGATAGTTTTAGCAACATAGCGCAGATGCTACAGAACACAGTCAGCTGACTAGCTGTATAAGATTGGGTGCTACGCTAATAAATTACTTCAACGGCATTACTGGCTTGTACTTTTAAATCCATAATATTATAAATTAACAGTTTATTGCTGGTCTGTGGTTTTAAACTGCTGTATTTTTTAAAGATTTCATATTATTTTAAGGTGAGCTTAAAGGGTACATTTCTATGAAAATCACACAGCTTCAGTGTGACATCAATAAGATAAAGTATAATTTCATAGATATTGTTAATAATAGTTGTTCATGATAAAATATGTATGACCTTAATACATGACCTAGACTATTTATTTAGCAAAATCTTGTCATTTTAATGATTACATGAAATTTATTAAAAATTGTTGCTGCTCCAATTAAGCTCAGTGTGCTCTCTTTAAGCTCTTCCACAATGAACATCTCTGTAACTAACCTCATAAACAGACTTTAAATATTAACTGATGGTTGTCACTTTAAGTAAAGTTAATCGATTTTCTATGAAATCAGACGACTCAAATTTGCAGACTGGCTCTGACCTTTGGCAATTAGCATCAAATTCTCCAGACTGTAAATCGGTGAAAAATCAGAGCAAAACTCATGCAGTGTAGTCCAGCCTTAAGAGACTATAGATAAGTTGACATCCATTTAATAAGAAGATTCATAATGAGGCTAGTTTCTGTGTTCATCCCCGTGAATGAAATGATTGATTGGTTTTGGATTTATTTGATTTTTGAATGTGTTACTTAGCTGAATGTGGATTAGTCTAGATGCGGCAATGTGCTTAAATGACACTTCACTATGAATTTATAACTGATCAAATTGGCAATTGCATTTGGATTATGTCACAATTTATGCGTCCACATACTGAAAACGCAATTGAAAATACAATTTGCTATTCTATTTGAAAATTGTCCGGAATATCGTTCCATAGAATGCCTTGTTGCTTGATTTTAGTATTCTGTTTTTTTTGTGATTGACTTTGTACATTAAAAAAATATATATTTTTCCATTTTTCTTTAAAAAGGTTGTTTAAAATAAACAAGAATTTTTAATAAAACATGATGCGAGCTTAATGGAAACAGGGGTGTGCTTAAAGGGTACAAACATGTACCCATTAACCACAGCCAGACTTTTTGCATTTAAAGATGTATATCTTAATTTAAATGCTTTTGTCATTTCAAATAAAATTTAATATTTTCATGCGAGAGATTAATATTTTATTTTAACATAACTTTTTGTACTGAAACCAATAAGAGAATGTGGATCGGGCGTGGCGGGCAGAATTCAGGATAAATGCAGGTGGCGTGAGGTCACATAGGCAGACAGAACGATCTGGCAGAAAATGACTGAAGACCCAGGGTTTAAATACTGGAGGCCGATGAGTTGATTGGCAGCAGGTGATTCACATTCAGCTATCAGCCACAGAGAGGAGAGCATAGCCACACCCCGGGATACACCAACTCACAAACACAGACACACAAAAAGGAAAAACACAGCTGGCCAAAAATCCAAATCCCTGGCAGAATGTATAACTGATCAAATTGAGTGCCTTGTTGCTTGATTTTAGTGTTGTTGTTGTTGTTGTTTTTTTGTGATTGACTTACCTTCAAATTAAACATTTTTTCAACTATTCTTTAAGAATGTTGTTCAAAATAAACAAGACTTTTTAATAAAACATGATGTGAGCTTAATGGGAACAAGGGTGTGCTTAAAGGGTACAACAATGTACCCATTAAGCACAGCCAGACTTTTTGCATTTAATGATGTATATCTTAATTCAAATGCTTTTGTCATTTAAAATAAAATTTTATATTTTTGTGTGAGAGATTAATATTTTATATTAATATAACTTCTTGTACTGAAAACAATATCTTGTGCACTAAAAATGACTCAATGTAGATTTTGGTGAGCTTAATAGGTACGTTTAACCTATCTCAGAATCAGAATCAGAATGAGCTTTATTGCCAGGTATGTTTACACATACGAGGAATTTGTTTTAGTGACAAAAGCTCCACGGTGCAACAGAATGACAGTGACAAGACAGGACACAGATAATAAAAAGAATACTATAAAAATATACAAAATAGACAATGTACAAAAAAGCAAAAACACAATATATAATATAGACAATTTTGTATGTACAGGTATGATATGTGCAAATTTGAAATGTAAATAAGTATGTGTGTTAAATAAATAATGTATACTAGTGTTGTGTGTTCCACGATTATTGTTAGGTGTTCATGAGATGGATTGCCTGAGGAAAGAAACTGTTCCTGTGTCTGGTCGTTCTGGTGCTCAGTGCTCTGTAGCGTCGACCAGATGGCAACAGTTCAAATAGGGAGTGTGCTGGATGTGAGGGGTCCAGAGTGATTTTGCTAGCCCTTTTGCTCACTCTGGATGAGTACAGTTCTTGGAGAGAAGGGAGGGTTGTGCCAGTGATTCGCTCAGCAGTCCGAACTATCCTCTGTAGTCTTCTGAGGTCAGATTTGGATATCTCACTATGGGAATGCCCTAGGCATGACCGATTGCGGAAGCACCAATGAAACCACGTCTGCCAACCATGGCAGACCAATCGCTGCAGCGATCAGGGAGTCCAGCCTCCCTGTATATAAACCGCAGCTACCTGCTGTCTCGTCATTCTCCGCACATCTCTTCTCAGTGCGGGACAAGCAAGGAGGGCAATATTATGAGATACCTCCCTTCATGTTATCAGAGAACCGGGGTTACGGTAGTAACCTAAAGTTCTCTTTCTAACATTCGTTCGGTATCTCAATATGGGATATAGACAACTTCCGTATTGCCGATATGCTGACGAAGCAGACTAAAAATGACTACGATCTGAATTATACCTCTCTGTCCTGGTACGAGTGGTTAAATGCAGATCAGTACAGTCTGAAAAAATCGACACTAAAGTGGAATGGAATACCTCATGTGATTAAAGGATAACATGTCCACACGCTCCAAGGACCGAATGGGCAAATGAAGGTTCTGTTACATATAGTCTTTAGAACCTCACAAAGGTGTGTGGGGAAGACCAGCTAGCCGCAGCACAGATTTCCTGAATAGAAATGCCCTTAAATAGCGTCCAGGACGTAGCTATCCCTCTAGTTGTGTGAGCCCGTAACTCTCTTGGGGGCTCCACATCCGCATTATTATAATAACATAACACGATTGCCTCCAAAACCCAGTGCAAGAGACATTGACGGGAGACAGGCTTTCCCTTGAAAGAGTCTGCCCACGAAAACAAAAAGCTGATTGCTTTTGAAAAGTGCCCTGGACTTTGCACATATACTTGTAGAGTCCGCACTGGACATAAACAGTGTGGCAAACGAGAGGCTGCTGGCCTATAGTACCCGAGTCAAGTCCTATACGAAATGTCGAGATAACGGCCAAATAAACCTTAACCGTGGAAAAAGCTCTGCCTTTGTCCAGGAGGTCTTGCAAGAAACATAACACATCCAAAATTTAACACAAATAAAGGACGACGGTTCTTTCTGCACACCATGCTTCGAACATTCCCTATTTGAGACTGTATAAAGAGCATGCTGAAGCATGTGGCCCTCGCGTTCTGAATCGTCTCAATGACCTTAGGAGGTAAACCAGCTGCATTTAAATTCAGCCTCTCACGGGCCAGGCCCAAACAGACAGCTTCTGCGGGGAGGGGTGGAATATCTCCTCACTTGGGAGAGAAGATCCCTGTGTGCTGGTAATGGCCATGGCTGGTCGCAGAGCAGCTGTGCAATCTCCGCTACCCACAGTCTCCCCGGCCAGTATGGTGCTATTAGAATCATCATATGACCGCGCTCTCTTACCCTCCATAATGTTGGCTCGATTAGGCTTATCTGGGGGAACGC